TAGTCACACCGAGCCACGCGCTCACGTCCACAGCAAACAACAAAAAGAAAGGATGGACACGAAGTGGTGTCAGAAAAGTCACTGAAAGTAATAGAGTAGAATTAGTGCAAAGCGGAATATCAGAAACACACAGAGTTGTATTTTCTGAAGTTTGAAGTTTGACAATTGTGAACGATTGCCGGTTTTTAAAGTTTTTTTGTGAAAAAAGAGCACAAGGCAACCCAGGTTTGCAACAGAAATATATGCCCGTTCCATTATTTCTTGAGGAAAGAGTGAGGCAACAGGCTGTGAGGTATCAAAAATTTCAAAATTCGTTGGACACACACACGAAATAATGGCAATTTTTTCTTGACCGTTTTCTTGAGAGCTGCATACAGGGCTTTAGTATCCAGCTCTTAAGAAAATGCACAAGAAAATGTTCGTGTTCTTTCTTCTGCTTGAAATAGTAGTAGGCCAGTAATTTTGACGTTTGATAATGCACCGTGAATAGTAAACAATGGCAGAAGAAGAGCGGTAAAAAGTAAACAAAAGAAACAATCTTTTGCCTATGACCAATTTGTAAGTTTATAACAATATTTTTCCTTAAATTTATTAAAGTACATTTTAATTTATTTTGATTCAATTTCAGGAGATAGTTTTCAGTATCCGAAATGGAAGATTACGAGTAAGTTTTACAGGGAAATGTTCCGAATACATAGTATCGGTAATTTTGATGCTAGTACAAAAAAAAAAAAACAAAACGGGCGTGTCACCTCCCAATTTTCCAACTTGAAAGAACAAAGACCAAGGAATTCAATGACTTTCCCCTCTTTCTCTTCCGACTACAGGGCTCCACTGGCAAGCCTCCTGAAATTAGGGGAAACAACAAAAATGTAAACAAACAAAAGGAAATGTCAAAAAAAGCAGTCACTGACAACGCCGTATTGTGTTTGCTACGGCAGTGACTGCCAATATTAACAGCAACAGCTGATTTTAAAAACTATCACTGCCACTGCGCTATTGTATTTTGGGCTAAACTCAGTTTACTCTAAGTTTATTCTGACACTGAAAAACAAGAAACGACTGGCGTGCTTTGTTGAACTCGGCCAAAATAGCTTAGGCGGTTAAGCTGAAGCTCTATAGCAGGCTTTTCACGCGTTGCGGCTTGAAGCGCTCAAGCCTGAAAGATGATTTAGTGAAATTGTATAGAAGCTGCTCCATAACTAAAGTCTGAAAAGCCTGAAAGATGCCAAATTTCGAACTTGTTTCAAGCTTTTCAGGCATCGTCTGAGAGTTACTAATTCGAACATTAGTACTGGTCATGATGCAATAAAACGAGGTGTTGGACGTAGTGACAACTCGATTTGGTGCCGCATTAGCTCAGTGGAATAAAAAGAAAAACGGGAAGAAATTAATCCCCGTTTGGGGGAAAAATGTAAAATTTCATATTTTCTTCTAAGCAAAATTTGATTTTTTATAGTATATAGCTGAAATACAATGCCGGCGAACGGCGAACTCACCACAGCGAAATTCGCGCTGTCAAAATTAGAACACCCGCAAGCATATGAAATTGAACACAGCCAAAGCGAAATGCGAAGTTCGCTTGGCGGCGTTTCATGGCGATAGATTTATTTCTATCGCTCTGCTGGGCGATGACAGCTGTGAGTGCCAAAGGTGGCCGTATTTGTTTTGTGCTTTCAAAGTTTAAAAAGAAAACAACCTAAACACGATTTTTTTTTTGTTGTTTGAAAAATATAGTTGTGGATTCGTTAAATCTGGCTTGAAACAAATTATTTATAATAATCTTTCTTTGTTTTACATTTATATTTGTTATCATTTCCTCATTTCTAAATATGGTTTAGTTTTTTCTAAATATGGTCACCCAAATTATAAAGGCGACCAAATGGGATCAGCTGTTTTCGCTACCGCTCTAATTCTGTTTAAGTAGGCGAAATAGTTGGGCGAACGGTGAACGACAGCATCGCCCAATTCGGCGAAGTTTGCCGTCCGCCGGTATTGTATTTCAAGCAATAATCGTAATGAAATGAAATAAAATGGGATAAGACTAGTCCTTTCCTTCCGATCAAACAGCGCGACTCTGGATCTCGTCCATTCAGATCGCCTGCCCGTAGAGAAGTCAATAAGAGGCGGCTTGGAAACTAGTCCTTTCCAGCAGGGCTGCATAACTATATAAACAAAAAAATTTCGTTTCGTTATTTATTAAAAAAACAACTTATCAAAAAATTTCATTTGCTTATTATGAATAAACAAAATATGAAAATAAAAATAGTTTCGTTAGTTATCAAAAAATGTTAACGAAAAAAATTTCGTTTCGTTGATTATCAAAAAGGAAATATCAATAGTTTTTTTGTTTCATTATTGAAGAAGAAAATTGTAAGCAAAATTTATGTAGGAGTACGTAGCATTATGGGATTTCTTTTTATTAAATAATTAACAAATAGTAAACAAAACGCTGTTAAGAAATTATGCGAAAACTAATTGAGTAACATTAATATCGCTTCAGTGATATCATCACTCAAACCTATAGTCATTAATTATATATTTTAAAGTGGAGAACGCCCGCTCTACACTAACTTGCGTAGCGGGAGTTGCATGAATAGTTTTGTATAGCTGGTACAAGGTACTGTGAGTAAATTTTTTTGACTCCCAATAGTCTGCTAAATTGGCCTTCAAATCGCAATTTTCATTGAATGCTTCTATGATTGAAAATGCCTCTGTGGTATTTTCGCTTCTTGGTTCGTATTGGGAGATTTGGTTTAGTAGTGTGCCTGTTTATTAAATTTTATGTTTGCGGCAGAAAAAATTTTCCTTTTTTGATATTTTTTTTGATAATCAACGAAACAAAGTTTTTTGTTGACATATTTTTCTGATAATTAACAAAACGAATTTTTTTTGATAAACACATAATGTTAACATTATCGATGTAAAAAACCAAAACGATTTTGAATTTTCGTTTATTGATAAAATTAACGTTAATGTGCAGCCCTGCTTTCCAGCCGCCTAGTGGTGGTGGCTCTGGAAATAACACTCTTGAGCCGCATGCCCTACACGTGATATATTTACGGTACCGCTTGGAATCAAGTCCATTCCAACAGCATCGAGAATACAAATTAATTCTACAAAAACTATTTTAAAGCTTAGAAAAAAAATCGTAATAGGTTAACTTATATTAAGCTTTCATTTTACTTTTAATATATAATAATTTTGTAATATTCAAATGCATATACGTGAATAAATATAGGTCACATGACTATAAAAAATAAATATATAAATAAATGAATATTATTTAAATTGTGAATATTTTAATGTTCACATTGGTTTTCAACACTAAAAAAGTTTGAATTAGTCAATTCGCCTTGAGTCAATTAAAAATAGAAAATCAAAGGATGTTTTTGAAAACCTTTCATTCTTTCATGGTTTACGACCGTACAGAAACAAAATATTTCCAAAATGTAAGAATAGAAATTTTTGAGCCAAATTTCGCATTAACTAATGTATTTTGAACTTTCAGGAATATACACAATTTAATACGCCTTAATGCATTCCAGAGAAATCTTCTACGAGTTCAATTGGTTTCGTTTCGGTATTTAAAAATTAAGATCGAACCACCCAGAAAAAAAGAAACACACGGAACAAAGAATCGTCGCCTTGGAAGGTTCTTCGCACCAAGTTTGACCGTTTACAGACCACAATTGACGTCGGTGTTGTCTATATCGAATCGAGCGAGTTCACTTTTAGTTACTATGTATACTTGGGGATTAGGAATAGGCGCTTTAATATCCTCGCACGATAATGCACATTTTGTTACAATGCTAGATGGATTGCAAATGAGTTCTGCATCTTTATTTATTTTAAAATTCATGATCGCTTTTCCATTTGCTTACCATTGTTGCGCTAGTGTCAGAGTTTTAACCTGGGAAACAGGAAATTTTCTCTCTCTGAAGGGAATTTATCTTACTGGATATATAGCAATTGCAGCTACCATACTTACAGCCGCTGGCTTGGCGAGTTTGTAAACGTCTGTTTGTGACTTTAATAAAAAAAATGTTTAAAACATACAAAAATATATGTTCAAATATATACTTTTAAATGGCCAGTTAGTACCACCGATTTCAGAATATTTATTGAGTTCAATTGAGTGTTTTTTGGGGTGGGGTTTAGTAGCGCTCACAACTATTTCGGGCTATTCCGTCCAAAGGGGTAGCCCGATCCAAAAAAAAATCCACACACTTGTAGTCAAGGGTCTACGCATTATTTTAACACTCACTTTTGTAAATTTCGGTCACTAATTTTTTTACAAATTGGGTTTGAAATATGCGCTTTTTTGTAAAATTCGGAAATTAGCGTACATTTATCACTCCTATTCTCCTTAAAGCAGCCACTTCACCAATACATATTTGTATTCCCCTTCACTTTACACTTTACTCGATTAGTTATAATTTGCTTTACGACTTTAATATTAACCAATTAATCACAATTCATTAAATAAAAACACCTTCAAAATCACGCGTCTGACTTTGGTTGCATATGCAAATTAAATGGCGGAGTTCAGCTGTCAAACTCCAAAATATGCAAAAGAATGAGACAAAAGCACGGTGCAGCGAACAAAGGTGGCGCCGTCAGAGGTACCGCTACTTTGGTTTTGCCGATTTTGACAGTTGTGGTAACTTGTAAATAAACCTGTGTTTACAAATCAGCGAGAGAAATTCGAATTGTAAGTGAAAAATCAGTTTAAATTTTGGCAATTTGCAATTTGTGAGTGATTTTTGAGTTGAAGACTGCGTAAAAACTAATAAAATGAAGTGCTGTGTGTTAAATTGCGACAGCCATCAAGATACAAGATGCCTAGATGCAAGTGTAGCGCTGGGACGAATCGCTGCATTTTGTGTACATAGGGCATGGCAAAACCGTTATCGAAATGTTTCTTTATTATTACATTAACAGCATTTCCTCACAATGATTTTGCTTCTGGTCCAAGCAGCCTACATTACAGTAGCTACACACGACGAGCATATCCGCGCACATGTGCGCCAACATGCTGGCTGTCGTTTGCTACAAACGGCGAGCGGCTCATAAGTGATTTTGTACTCAAAGCGTAAACATGGAAAGGAAAGACGCGGATGATGCAATTGAAATACTTATGACTTAGGGTTTTTTATGTATGTGTTACTTAAATTTATTTATATTTTACTAATATGTATGTACATACATATACATATAGTAATTTAGCCTCATTTATCAAAAATTCAATTAACGCACATGGCTTGGATGCATTTATCCGCGATGTGCACACTGCAAGCATCAACACAAAGTGAGGTTGTTGTTATTGTTTCCAATGCGATGCTCGCAAACCACGCTACAAACGACGAGCAGCTCGCTGAAAATCAAAATTTTTTGATTTTTGGCCAGCATGTGCGCGGATATGCTCGTCGTGTGTAGCTGCTGTTACCAAGTTAACTAATCAATCCCGCTGAGATGCTGCGCAGTTTTCTGCAGCAGCCTTAATTGCAAGGCAATGGAGTGCACTAAAATGTTACCTATTCTCTAATAGATTAGGTAAAAATGCAATATTTTCGCACTTAGCAAAATTAAAACACGTTTTTCGCTGTAAAGTGAACTGTTTTAGCAGTTCCAACTCGTTCTTCTTTTCGCTCTATTCTTTGTTTACTTGTGGTACACAAATGTCAACGCCCAGGACGGCGCAATCTTGTATTCTATCATTCTATCATTCTTGCAAAAGAAGATAGGATATAACCCAGTAAGCATTACAAATATACAAAGGTGTTCTCTGCAAAAGGTGTTCAGCTCCTTTTCTTCGCAAAACAGAAAGGAGAATTCTACTGCCTGAGGATTAAAATCCCTAAGTGCGGCCGAAGGCCGCCTACGCAGAAAGGTATTCAGCCCCTTATTTTGGCAACACAGAAAGGAGAATTCTACTGCCTGAGTGTTATAATCCCTAAGTGCGGCCGAAGGCCGCCTACGCAGAAATAATTCTACGCAAAAATACATTTGTTAAAAAAACATTTTTTTTTCATAAAAACTTGTTTTTTCTATTTTTAATTAACTTTTTAATCTTTATTCAAAATCACCCGATACCTAATTTGGCATAATTTCTTTTATTAAAAAATCCCACGGTTTCTGTTAGTTGGGTCATATTCCACTCAAACTGCTCAGTTTGCCTAAGAAAATTCCGTTCAAACGGTTCCCTAAGGGACTGTGGGAGGAGCCCAAGGGGGGAGTGCGCCTTTTTAGACAGCGGGGACTGTCCCCTTTCCAGTGGGGGGCTCTTGTGGGGCCCCGCCTTCTCCCCCTCCGCCACCCACCCCAAAAACGATGTGCGCGCTACTAAACATTTCCCGTTTTTTGTGCTACATTAGCGAAATGCTATTGTTTTGAACCACCTTAATCCATCAACAAGGATTTCGTTTGCAAAAATCGCATTCATTCGCTTGTCCATTGTGAATGGCAATAATTTAAGACGACGGAAAGAAGAAGCACTAATAAATTTGACAGCTAAATCAAAGTGGACAGACAAATTTGGACAAAGTTGGAGCAAAGTACCAAAAATGTAAGTGCGATACAGTACACTTGAAATTAATAATTTTAAACGATTCCTTTAAAACAGGTATGCCATAACTCGTTCACTGATTCGTTCACCTGCCCTGCGTCAGGGTGTGCAAAGGCTGCAAGTGGCTGCTCCGGCTCGGCAAGTCACTTTGAAAGTTGTACCTGCAAGTGATGCGGTTCCAACGGAGACATTTGATGAGAAAAATCAACGTCTTGGACGTGAATTATCTCCACATTTAACCATCTACAAACCACAGTTAACATCGATGCTGTCGATCACTCACCGTGGCACAGGTTTTGCCCTGACTGGCTATGCTTGGGCTTTGGGTCTAGGTGCATTGATGTCTTCGCAAGACATTTCACACTACGTTACTATTATTGAAGGCCTGCATTTGGGGTCTGCGACATTAGTTGCACTTAAGTTTGCCTTGGCCTTTCCATTGGCATTTCACTCTTGCTGCGGTGTTCGCCATTTGCTATGGGATACCGGCCGTTTTCTAAAAATTACTGAAGTTTATTTGACTGGTTATGTAACTCTTGGTATTAGCCTCGTACTGTCGGCTATTTTGGCTTGTTTGTAAACATATAACTGAATCAGTTGGATATTTTTCTTGTTACCTTATGTTGCAGAGAGCTTATTTAAATTTATTTGGAATATTGGAAAATTAAAGTGATCTTAGCGAAAGTAAATAACGATACGTATGTAGTTCTTTTTGAGTATTAAAACTAACCGAGTGCTTAATTTTGCATTATGCAATGGAAAATTTATAGATCTTACCTAACTGGAGATGTAGTGATAAGGCGTTTAACCGGTTCATTGCAATTTCAGGAGAACCTATTTCTTCAATATTACCGAATTTTAACACTGCCGATGTCTTACGAAATTCATATCCTACCAAATCGCATATCTATAATACGAGCTCACAAGCATATTCATTCAGCAAGAGTTCATGGAGAGAGAGAGTTATTGAAGGTGGTGAGCGACACCCGCCTAGAATGTCGGGGCAAGCGAAACATTTAACGTTTATATGCCACTTGCTGCAGGATATCACTCTGACATACGTTCGCTACTCAGAGATAAAAACTGAAAGGTAGTAGGTGACTAACGCGCACCACGACCTTTGTCACTCTCCTTGTAAATGATCGTAAGGGAATCTTATTGGATGAGCAGATAGACGATTCAATTCGACGATGACGCCCCCATCAGAATTATGGGTAGCTGCAGCAGTTCTGTAGACCTAACAATTACTAACGCAGGCCTGATTAATCATCATCAGACCATCGTAATCTCGATCAACAAGCCCTCCTACTTTGCTCCTATGTCAACTTTACCTAAGCTGTTTGGAACGGCTTCCCGGAAGCTACTGAGGGCGGTTTCGCCGCCTTTCCCATACCCCCAAACGTACATGCTGGCAAGCGCCAGTTCCACAAGGTAGTTGCTGCCGCAGCGGCCCGCATCAGCATATATGACAATTGGCCAGCCGGTTCTGAACTATGCTGCGTCTGTTTGGTCCCCGAGGATTAAAACAAGTTGAAACAGCTCGTCTAACCCGGTCAAAACCGGTCGAAACAGCTCGTCTCTTGGTTCTACCGTTAGTTGAGCTTGACTACAACGATTGATGTCCAAACCGACCTAGGCGGGTCTTAGTTGTGCCGTTTCAAAAACAACAACGACTCTAAGCATTCAGTCAATAGCTTGTGTGTACACCATCGGGCCCAGTAGTTTTTTCAATGTAAATCTCGACCGAGTCCTTGTATTCGGAAAGACGACTACTGATGAGCCTGCGTGACTGTGCCTTTTTAAGCATATGCCAGTTCGGGTGCTCGCGTCTGTTGCACCCTACTAAGAACTGCTTGCCGAACAAGAGGTGTTCTCATAGCTGCCGAAGATCACTTGCTTCTAAAGTCTTGAAGGATATTGGCCATTTTGTGGGTTTTAGAAAAATGTCGAAAACAGTTTCGCGAATTGCTCGGCCAACTGTACGACCTGTACTAGGTCACTTAAAAATTTCGTGATTTTTTTATTATTTTGTAACGCCGTGTTATAAAATTTCTATATATGTATATATATATATATATATATATTTTTATCAATTTCTAAAAAAACATAAAAACTAGCGCTTCGGCGTTAACACGAGTGCACCTTGTCCAAAAGTATTAGGCACCCCAATACAACACGTTTTTTTTTTTAATTTTCTTTTGTTTATTTAATGTTTAATATTTTTTTTTTATAAAAGCATGACCCACTAACAAAAACTCATACATCCAAATTTCAAACTTTATGCAAAAAATATAAAAATGTTGCAAACTTTCACCAAAAATTCCAACTTTATATTCAGAATCTTTGGAAAAAATTAAGTATGCCGTTTTGTAGCCCATTAAGTTTTAGTATACAAAGTAGTATTTAGTAGTTATTAAAAATTTCCGTTGATTTTTGATGATTTTTTCGCTGACGGTGTTGTACATTTTCTTCCATATAGAAAAAAATTCAAACATACTTTTTATGGAAACTACTTAATACTACTTTGAATAAAAAGTTGGAAATTTTGGTGAAAGTTTGCAGAATTTTTATATTTTTTTGCACAAAGTTTGGAATTTGGATTTATGTGTTTTTGTTAAATACGTACAATATTCGTAACTCATACGCCATGTAGTCCATTGAACATATGGACGAAACTTTGAAAAGAGCTCAGTGACCTTAGTCTTTAAGATTAAACCACTTACCGCTTTTTAAATCTTAGTTTGTGGAAGCCAAGTCCGCAAATAAATGACAGGACAAATTTATTACCTGTAGATATCAGGTACCTATGCATATACATAATTATATAGTACATGGGGCGTTCCATACCAAAACAGACGGGGTTCACACTTCATGTGTTTGATTTGTTTCAAATTCTTAGGGTTGATGATTAAACATAGTAACTAATAAATAAATATAAAATTTGAGCTTAATTTAAAAAAATATCACAAATACACACACCGAAATTCTCTATGAAAATAAATATTTAAAAAATTCAATTATAGCTCTGAGTATTGCGCAATATTTAAGTATAGTACTATGGGGTGCACTCTACAATAATTTGAGTTATGAATTTTTTTTACACCGAAGTTGAGTAAAATCAGTACATTACAAATTTACAAATTTTTAAAATTTTTGTTAGAATTTTTTTTTTTGAATGCAGGGCTCGAATCGTAACATCCGTTCACTGATCGAAAACGATACGAAAGAAAATTACGTGATACGTCAGGTAGTATAAGCTGAATGGGACACATAGTGCGTTCACGTATGGTATAATCCGAAAAATGTTTTTACGTGACGAGTAGTAGGATATCGTATGTGACGATTCGAGCCCAGTTTTGCAGCCCATATAATTTATGCTAACGGCTTTTTTTCGGCCGTTTCCTTAGTTTGATTGAATATAGTAATTTTACTAACAGGTGGCAACCCTATTCAAAAAAAAACGTTAGTTCTTTTCTAGAGGCCAATCCGTTTCATTTGACACCTCATCTTTTGTAATCCAACTAACGGTGCGGATCTTATAGTTTTTTAGACAGCTGGCAACCTTATTAAAATTCTAAGTAAAAAAGGTCACACTCGGAAAATCTCGTCAAAATGCGTTCAGTAGTTTTCGAAATTACCGCGTACAAAGAATCCCGACTTTCCTTTATACTATGTAAGATGTTTATGCATCAACGCTAAAAATTTAAAACAACTGAAACACAGGAAGTGTGAACCCCGTCCGTTTTGGTATGGAACGCCCCACATACATAGATATGTACATACATATGTACGTATGTAAGTACAATATTCGTTACTCATACGCCACGTAGTCTATTGAATATTTGAACGAAACTTTGAAAAGTTTATTATGCCTGTATATTCATACATTCATGCGAGCTTGAAGAATTATTAGGGTGGTCCAAAAATTCATGTAAAGAAAGTAAAGTCGGAATTTGTATGCTCTCACCCCCTAGGATTGTTCTCTATCGAAAAAAAGTATACCCAATTTTTTTTTTATTTTGAAATAAAACAAGTAATTTTTAGAAAAAAAAACCTACTTCAACTCTCATATATAAAAAAATATATATATATATCTCATGATCCACTGATCGGATCTTAACCAGATTAGTATGGGACCACCTATGGGACACTACCTTTCCTATGCAAAAAGAATTATCAAGAAATCGGTTGACGTGGTCCGAAGTAGCATACATAAAAAAAAATAAAAAAATAAAAATTAAAAATAAAAGCGCTCAAAGTTTTCCATGTATTTTGTATGGGAAAAAAAGAACTTTTAGTGGAAATGGTATGAAATTCTTGAAAATCAATATTTTTTCGATCGGAAGACTCTGTTTCTCTTCAACAGATTCCCAATAATAAAGCCCAATAATTTTTTTAAAAATTTTTTCTTAGTAACTATATTTTATAGGACCGCAAAAACCCCTAGAAAATGCCAGGAAATGCAATGGGGGGATAAATAAAATATCTTCATTATTGAAAAATGGTTAAATAAATAACTGGATATCCTTATTGGAAGTATCCTGAAGAGAACCAGAGTTTTCCGGTCAAAAAATATTGATTTTTAAGAATTCCATACCATTTCCACGAAAAGTTGTTTTTTCCGTACAAAATACACGGAAAATTTTGAGCGCTTTGAGCGAACCCTACATAGTTTTTGATTAAAAAAAAAAAAAAAAATAGGGGTCTACTTTTTTTCGATATAGAACACTCCTTGGGGGTGAGAGCATTAAAATTCCGAGTTTACTTATTTTGGACCACCGTAAGCTTTATTCACAGCCGTGACAGTTCGAACACTTCGTTAATATTTTATGCAAATTTATCAAACAATAAAAATATATATTAGAGTTCATACATACTTATGTAGATATGTATATAAATTCATACATGAACACAAATGCGTACGTCTTTACGCGGCTATAAATTATTTTGATAGGGCGTCGCATAAAAATTGATTCAACGACAACAACGCCGACGACGTCGACGAGACCCTAAACGGTGGATGAAACTAATGGATAACATATGTACATACCTTGGCAATTTTTAAATAGAAGGGGGTGGAAGTGGCAAATGGTAGGAAAATAAAAGACAAATGCTCAACGCAGGCTACTACTAATATGGGTTGAACAATTTAGGTGCAGATTGTTGGCGTAGGCGTTAAATGTCAGTGAAAAATGGATGCTAAAGCTGCAACTATACATATCTACATACATATGCACAATAGGAGTCCGTATGCACGTCTGTGTAACTGTGGCAGAGGACTTACCAACAAAAAAAAGCTGCTATTCGGCGCACATGTTCAGAAAACTAGAGCAAAGGCATGGATGCATGGGTTGCTGACAGAAGTTGCAAAGTTACAATTTGGCAGACAAGCTTGGCTTGGCTGTATGTACTGCACACATACTCATAGTTATGTATGTAGCACGCATACATACATATGTATGTATATACATATATAATTTTTATAGAAAATATAATGAAATTCCGACATGAGGAGCACATGTGTTTGCAGCTGCTACTTGCACTACATACATATATATTGTTGCTCCAGCCAGTGACGATATGGTTGGTGTTGCCGCTACTACTACTCTGCGCTTGGTTGTCAGTTAGTTGTTGGCGCTGAGTAGCTAGCGGCCTGTTAGTTGCTACTTATGCAAACCTACATACATTCATACATAC